CCTCGGTGTTGCTCCCGCGCCTCGCTCAGCCAGTGAGCGGGAACCGGTCTGCATGTGGGATCCGAACCCTCGGGCGGGAGCGCCGCCGCGCTTCCCAAGCGGCGCACTATCCAGTGCGCCACTGGGCCGGCCCCCCATCTGCTTTTTCTACAGTATTTTTCTTCACAATGTGGAAGAGAAGTGACTCTCTTATTATCACTATCCATGTCTAATGAACAACATAGTTTTTTACTACTTAAGCTTCATACTTAATTTGAAAAAAAATTTTCATGTTTACGGTTTTTAGTTTTAGCAGATTATTTTTCCCATATGGTTTTCTGTGTGTTCTTTTTAAGTTGGCCAAAGCTTAAGTCAAATAGAATAAATTCACAGGGATCAGTGACTGAGTTTAAATGTTTTTTCTTCAGTAGAGCATTTAATAGCCTTGCATGCTTAACAGATATGCTACTTAGTCACACTCTCTCACTTACTCACTCATTTATCAAGCACCTCATATGTGTGGCCAGACACTTTACTAAGAGCTAAGGATACTATGGGTAAGGGAAAAAGCCCTCAAACATGGTCTCTGCCCTTATGGATCTTACAGAGTAATAGGGAGAGAGAGGAGACAGAGACAGAGAATCATCAAGTGATCACACAAATGACTGTGAAAAGAGTAACGGGTGAGAGTAGTCATGAGCTGTAAGGAAACCTTTACATAGTCTGGGTGGTCACAGGAGTCTTCCCTGAGGTCTGGAGTTTGAAAGGTGAGAAGTTGCAAAAAACAATGGGGGAGGGGCAAGAATGTTTCTGGCCGTGTGAAGAGCATGTTCAACGATGAGTGGCAAGAAAGGATGGAGTATGTTCCAGACTCTGGAAGAAGCCCGGGTGGGTGGAGAGAAGAGCTCCAGAAGCCTTTGTAGAACAGATAATGGTCATATCATGTCAGGCCTGTTAGTCACATTAAGGAATTTGTTCTATGTCCAAAAAACAATAGAAAACCATTGAAGTGCTTTAAGCTGAGGAGTGTGTGTGTGTGTGTGTGTGTGTGTGACACAATCATGCTTGCATTTTTAAAATATCACTCTGGCTGAAGTGAGGAAAACAGATGGGAGGACTTTGTGATGGAAGAGATGTGGGGTGAGGAAGACAGAGAAACCACAGATAGCTCCAAGTTTTCTGGTTTTCCCAATCAAATAGAGGGTGTGGCCGATCACTGAGCTGGGGAACACTGGAAAAGGATCAGGCTTGAGGAATGCTCAGGAATGCCATTGCTAGTTCATATGATAGTTTTGTGTTTAGTTTCATAAGAAACTTGCCAAAATGTTTTCCAGAGCAGCTGAGTCATTTTGCATTCCCACCAGCAATGTATGCAGAATCCACTTTCGCCACATCCTTGCCAGCATTTGGTGGTGTTACTATTTTTTATTTTAACTGTTCTTAATTTGTGTTTCCCAATGGCTGATGATACTGAACATCTTTTCATGTGTTTATTTGCCATCTGTATGTAATCCTCAGGGAATTGTGCCTTTATATTCTTTTCCCCCATTTTCTAACGGGATTATTTGATATTTTTACTGTTGCATTCTGAGAGTTTTTTGCATATTCTAGCTATGAGTTCTTTGTTAGGTATGTGGTTTGTAAACATTTTTTGTCTTTTATGGATTGTGCTTTTGGTGTTGTGTCTAAGAACTTTTATCCAAGCCCTTTGTCCCAAAGATTTTCCCCTATTTTATTTTCTAGAAGTTTTATGTGATCCATTTTGAGTTAATTTAGAAAAGAAGTTAATCAGAAAGGAAGAAATAAAACTGAGTTAATTGAGTTGCTTTATTTGCAGAGAACTGAGGTTATGGTTGAGGTTTGTTTTTTGCTGTGGATAATCCAGTTGTTTCAGCACCGTTTGTTGAAAACTGTCCTTCCTCCCTTGAATTGCTCGTGCACCTTTGTCAAAGATC